AGTCCAGCAGCTCCCGTTTCCTGGAAGTATGATGGAACGGATAGGAAGTGACCTGAACTTCTGCCTTGGTCCTTTTCACTTTAACTCATGGCTTTGTAGTCTCCTAAAGCTGGACTGGCTGGTGCTTGGGAAGGTACCACTTACGGGACCTGTATGAAAGGACTTTGTATTAAAAGGAGGAAAAGAAAAAAGCAAAGATCCTGGAGCTCCATGTGGCTCCGTTGTCTCCCTGCAGCTGTGGACCTGGGGACACTTTGTGCAACTGCAGCCACTTTCCTCTTTTCCTCACTCGGACGGATCAGTACCAGACTATCACCTTTGTGAGAGAGGAAGAGGCAGACTTGAAACTGAAAACGGCTTGAAGTCGTTCAAAAACTTGTGAACACTAAAAGAAACCACAGTGAAGCAACTGAAGCTTCTTCAGAGAACCCCTCGTGGACATTGGGACCAGTTTCCTGCTGGACTTTGGGTTTGAAAAGAACTGCGACAGAAACTCTTCTGTCACCATACTGGGTTTTTTTGATCTATTAAATATTTCCTGTGGTGTGAGGTTACTTATTAAATCCACAGACATGGAGTGACTTCTTGCAGTATACATATAAAAATTTGTTGTAACAAGTTACATTTCCACCCAGATGTCATGTTTGCAGTGAAAAAGGGCACGATTTTTATACATATATATATACACACATATAGATATATATATGAATAAATAAAAAGGAAAACCTGCTAAGATCATGCTATGTAGCAGACAGGGGCTTGCTGTAATTTTTAGCATGTAGAGCAGTTTACTCTGGCATTCTTGTCTATGGATCTCCAATGAGCTGCTGTTCCCCCCCTCCCTACAGCTGAACCTGCAGTTCCAAACCCAGTGTAGTATTTGTACCGGTTGTACTCATGGACTTCAGGGGATATTTGATTTTGATCAATGTAGCAAACCAGGGAAGCGAAACTTTCAAACCCAGCCCTGTTGGGGGGGGGGAGGGGGGTGGTTTTTTCCTTTTGTTTTCTTTTTCCATTCTTCTGTTTCTGCCACCAACCCCGTGCAGGTTTTTGGTAGCTCCCTCCTGCCCCAGTGCATGTATTATAGCAGCAATCGTCTTTGTGCTTTCTGATCCTAGTAATGTATCACTTGTAAATACATCTTTTCTATTTTCTATTTCTTTGTATTTGCATTTTGTTTCAGTCGTGCTGTACCCGCCCTGCCCCGAAACACCAAAAAAAAAGGAAAAAAAAAGAAAAAGCAAACTGTCCTTTACTGGTGTGCCTGGTGGAGTTTGTGTGCTGGCTGCTCTGTGCCTGCAGCCTGCTCAAATGTGGAGGTTTTCATTGTGTTTTTTAACCCAGCCGCTCCAGCTCTGCTGTGTCAGACCGAAGGCCCTCCCTCAGGTAACTACAACCTTTTTCCTTTACAATACTCTGGCGGCTGGGGTTTGGGAGCTCTCCTGAGAGCTCAGAGCTGGTCTTAGTTTGATAGATGCTGCTAACCGTGAGCTGACTGGAAGGAAACCAGGAGTGTTTTAAGCGTGAATGTGACCCAACAGTGAGCTGGGGTCTGGTTTTGTTACCTCCGGTGAGGCAGCTTCAGTGAGATGTGTGCTCCTTTCTGCTCTGCCAGCGGCTCTGGGAAGAGCCTGTTTAGCACAGTAGGAATCCAGGTCCAGCCACGTGTGTGAGCTGCTGTTCGTGGACACATTCCTCTGTCCTCGGGCACGGGTGGATGGGCTCAGAGGTGGTGGAAGGGATCTCTGAGACACCTGAAACATCTAAAGGAACAGAAAATAGGAGCACAGCCCTTTGGGAGGGGCTCTGAGGTGTAGCAGGGGTGGGGGCACAGGGTGGCAGGGAGGATGGGGTCACTTCAGTTACAATAATGGCTTTTCCCCGATTCACACCTTTCCCTGAGCTGGAAGCGTTTCCTGTAGCGCCGCAGTGCTCATCCTCAGGTAACTGACCCTTCTTTAGGAAGCAAACAGCTTTTCATTAAAACTCTGCTTTTTCCGCTCATAGCGAGCGTTAGGACCGGAGCTGCAGCCAGCGTGGGACAAAAGAAAGGCATCAGTTCTCAGCTACACACCTCAGACCTAAGGGGGGCATTCAGAGAAATAAATAAAACACTTTTCTGGATTTCCCTCCTCCCCTGAGGTTCCAAGCACTGGAATAACAACTTTAGCTCCAGTTTGCTGCTGCTCTACCTTCCCAGCCTTTCCCCCTGCCCCATAGTACTGCACACTGCAGGTACTTTCCACTTCAAGGCAGTTCCTTCCTGCCTTTGGAATGAACATAAAGGGTCTTGCTCTATTTTGCAGAGGCATTTTTTAGTCCCTGCCAAGAAAATGCCTAGGAATGATTTTCTGCACTTAAAACCCATCTGGAAAACGTTCTAGAAGTGCTGATAGACAAGTATTTAATAAAAATTAATTGCTGAGAATTAACCAGAAGAATCTTGGCCTTTCTTTTAGGCTGCACTGTCCTCCTGCACAGTGACCTTCCGGCACGCACCAAGGTAAGAAACTGAGGTGCTCTGCAGAGGTCAACCAAAGCGTAACCATTCTAAATACAAACACATCCGCACAGGGAGAAGCATTCTCCCATGGTTCCTGAGCCAGTCACAGCTTCGTCCCACAGCTCTCCTGTCTAGAACCACCCCAGCGTCACACGGGGATTACAGATTCCTACCTGAGCTGCTGGGCCCTCTCTGCGCAGGTGCGCTTTGTCCTTGCTTCTCCAGTCTGGCCAAAGCTGCATCTTCCCAGTTTGAGGATGAAACTGCAGAGGCTGCTTTGGGTCCCTTGGGTTGTGGAGGCTGGGTGGGACCATGGGCTCCCTGTCAGCTCTGTACATGCCTTCTTGGTCTAACATTCCATTGAACTCTGTAACAAACTACTTGGCCCAGTCCTGCAGTGAGCCTGTACCTGCCCTTCCTCTGGACAGTTATCAGAGCAAATAGTTAATAACTGTTTGACCAACATCAGCCTTCTTGCAGGAAGGGAAAAGGGCACTGGCAAGAAGGCGACAGACTAGAGCGTGTTCACAGCAAAGTTGCCAGGACACAGCCTGGAAGTGGGATACACAAACCTGTTACAGTTCTGGAGCTGGTTTTTCTGCTGCATCCTTGGGAACAGCTTAGAAATTTTACTGTTGGTAAAAGGTCACACTAAATCATGCAAAAGTGAATTCAGAAATGACCTGGGGTTGTCTGCCCAACCACTATGCATGAAGGGTACCGGAGATGCAAGCTGCTCGTTCTATTTTGTACCCTGCTCAAACCTGGAATGCTGAGACTGTGCTTCTGTTTGGTTCTCCCTCTCTTCCTCCCCACCTCAAATGACCTGGAACAGCACGGTGAGCCCTGTCCTGCCGTGCTCTGAGGAAGGCAGATGCTTCAGACTCCAGGCAGCTCTGTGTTCTTGGTGGGGTCCAGGCCAAGGATGTGGTTCACATCTGTGTTCCCCAGGAAGAGTGTGTGTGTGTGTGTATTGAATAGTGTATTTAATTTCTCGCCTGTATTTGTGACAGCCCAGAACAGCTGCTCTATTCCTTTAGTCTGTTGGGAACTCACATGAGGAGACTGTGAGCTTTGTATGTGCTATAAAATACATCACATTTAAGGTGGGTGAGGGGAGTAACTCCTCACTGCTGTGTGTTTCCTAAGAAAGGATTCCAGTTAGGGATCTCCCGGCTCCCTTCTGTCTCATAACCAGCTTCATGTACACCTAGAGCCCTGTGGGGCAAACCCCACACTGTCCTTGAAAGTGTGGCTGTGGCTCACCTCCTCCCCCTCCTCTTTCTCATTTAGGCATGATCTGATTCTCCCATCTTGGTGCCCCAACTCGGCAGCGTTGGCTCCACCTGTAACCAGAGCCTTTCCTCAGAGGGAGGCCTGGCCCTGCCCACGCCCAGCCGGGTTAGTGCTGTCTGGGGGTGGCTCACAGCAAGAGCTCCCTGTTTAATGCTGCAGAACTTGTTTGTGTTTTGCACTTTCAACAGTTCTCTTCTGGAACAGCTCTGAGGAGGCACATGCATCACAGCCCGCAGCCACAGCAGCAGGGCTCCCCAGAACACTCCATTACGAGGTGCTGTTCCCCATACTCCCTGCAGAAGGTCCACAAGGGATCTGGTGAATCTAGGCTGTAGGTTCTCCAGGTGTGTCCTCTGTCAGCTGAGGTGCTCGGCACTATTCTTCCCCTCAGGTCAGCCATGGTGCATGTACAGGGGGAATTTCACTCTGCTCTGGAGAAGAGAAGCTGCGATCACTTGGAGATGGTAAATGAAGGTGTGGTATTGAGAGGGAGCAGTCTGAGCAGGGGCGGTGCACTGAAGCAGAGCTCAGGGAAGCAGCTAGATGAGGCAAGTGGAAGCAGTGCAACAGGCAGGGCCTCAGTGTGACACCGCACTGGGTCACTGGGGATGGAGCTGGACCTCGGCATGTGGGGGTCACTGCAGGTGAGCACTGAACAGTAACTCTGTGCTCCTCAAGTCCTCCCTTCCTTGCAGCAGGCAGCCCCTACAGCTCCCCTTCCTGCTGAGCGGCTGCAAGGACAGGTAAGTGTAAAACAACATCACTTCCTCCTACACAGTAACAGAAACAAGCCATCAGCAATCATCAAAGTGGTGGTAAGGGCTGGAATCGGGATAGCACTGAAACATCTCACTCCTAGAAGCCCTCCATAATTTCTAGTACATTCAGAGATGGTTTTCCAGCAGAAATACTCCTGTCGAATGCACTGCCTGGCTCTGTTCCTGTTCCTCCTTAGGTTTGTGAGAGCACCAAAGGGAAATGCAAGACCTGAAGACTGCCCCAACATGCAGCTGCCCTCTAGCGACCCGCAAAGGTATTATTTATGGTGCTCGGACGTCTGCCCTAGTGAACACCTGCTGCATCTCTGACCTGGTGCATGAAGGTCCTGGTGGGTTATTGCTCCTGTGTCTTATGACTGGAAGAAAATACTATAGATGGATTCACATTAACATAAAAAAGAGAGGGTGGGGACCGGTGGTCCTTTAAAACCGGGTTTTATTTGTCTTCTCTGTTCTCTTATGTGCAATAGAATCCTGCTGGTTTTCTGTCCACACAAATCTAAATAAAGGCACCATAGGAAAATAACCATTTACCTCTCCTGTGCTCGTTGTTTGGACAAGGAGGCAGGCTGCACAGGCTGTTGTCTTAGTCCTTTCCATCTTTTCCTGAGTTTAGAGCTGAGCTTTTGGCTGCTGAATCTTCTAAAAGTTAATATCTTGCCAAAGGTAGCCGATTGAGGATATGTGCTACTGCTAAAGCTTCCTGGTGAGGTTTTGTGTGTCATCTCTTCATTTCCTCCTCGTTGCCCAACACATGCAGAGATTAAAGGCTGTTACTGTACTTCACACTCTCTCTTTCCTGTTGGGAGTAATTGTTACAGTAAAAGCAGCTTTGGGAACAGAGGGGTTTTACCGTTTGATGTTTTTTTTATCCGTCCTGGGCATTGCAGCTTTTCTGTCCTTAGCTTTTACCCCTCCATCCATAAGTGGCTGAGAGAACAGGCTGCAGGGCTCTGCTGGCCGGGATGGAGGGGGTTTACTGATCTGCTTTTTCATACACAGGCAGCACCCACAGCCCGCAGAGAGGTAGGACCTGTGTCCTCCCGTCTGGCTCCTCTCATGCTGCAAGTGGGGAAAAGCACTGCCACAACCATCACCTCAGCACCAGCCCCTCTCACACATGATACTCATTGAAGCCTGATCAGTGTGGCCTACGGCAGGGAATAGGCACAGGGGTCAGGTCTCTCAGTGTCTCTAACTTTGGCACTGGTTATCCAGTACCACATAATGACCAATTTCTGCCAACTTGCTTCCCAGGCCACGGCTGAGCAGCACATAAGGACAGCTGCTGACTCTACTGAACAATCAGGCCGTTTTGCTGCTACCAAGCCAAAACAACACTCCAGTTCAGGAAAAGACCTATGCTCCCCTACAGGGCCAGGCAGCCTCCTCCCTCCTGCACTCACAGCTGTCACTTACAAGCCTAGATATGGCCTTCCATGCACCACACGTTGTCCAAAGAATCAGCACATTTTAACAAGAGGGTCAGTTACTCATTGGTGAGGAAAACTTTCATCCTGAGCCTCAGTCAAGAGGGCCAAGACTCAATCCCTGTTGTGCACTATTATGAGGCACTCTGGGGCAGTGTCTTGTTCAAGTTGGCCTCTTCAGCCACGATAGGCCTTCAGCAATTGACCTGCTATCACCAGCCTTTGGATCTCACTGGTCCCCTCGTAGATCTCTGTGATACGAGCGTCGCGGTAATGGCGTTCTGCTGGCATCTCTGTCACGTAGCCCATCCCACCCAAGATCTGGATGGCCTAAAACAAAGGCAGCAGCTTAGAAAAGAAGCAGAGTCAAGGAATGTGTTTGCTGCATAACACAGACACCTTAAAGGCAGCTAAGCCCATTGCAAGTGTAACCGGGGAGAGGAGGGAGAACACGTGGGGTTGACTGCGGCCGATCTGCAATTGGAGGAATAAACAGAATTTGAGCTGGGTAAGAGCAGTGCTGATGTCCCAGGCAGAGAATGAATTGCTTCAGAGGGATCTCTTAGTGACCCCTTGCTCAGCTAAGGCACTTTTGTTAAGGTTAAATAAATGCAGACACCAGAGGTCCTGCTCCATTTGCTCACTATGTTGCAAACATACGAGTGTAGTCCTGACTGGTGCACCAACGCTCTTACACATTGCTGATCTTGCTCAGACTTTGACACTGCCCTGGACAGCAGCAGGCATAAAAAGACTTTAGTTATACAGCTGCCACCAGCCAGCATAAATCCCTGCCCACCTCTGCCACAACCCAGGAGGATGCCTGGGCTAACCAGCTTCAGCCATAGCAGCCGGTTTGGTTGGTTGGGGCATTTTTGTAAGTAAATTAGTAAATTCCATCCTATTTTCCTCAGACACTGGCTGTGCGGTAACACAAACTCCCTTTCAGCATGCTGTAGATCAGAGATGTCAACTGAAGCAGTTACCTGATGAGCGATGGCCGTTGCAGCTTCTGATGCAGCCAGTTTGGCCATTGCCGCTTCCTTTGGGGAAGGAAAACATCACTGAGGGTGCAGCTAGCACAGGAATGAACATCTCACTCGCACACTCACAGACCCACTGTGCAGAGCCAGGCCTGACCACTGGTGCCAGTGCTGACCCCTCTCCCCTCAGCTAAAACCAGCTGGGCTCAGCAGGCTGCCGGAGGACAGAGAGCAGAGGGTGATGGGTTAAACCCTGACAGCAGGGCTGGACACAGTGTGGACTTCTTGCCCTGTCACTGTGAGACAAATGCCAGGCTGGAAATACCTTTGTGAAGGGCTTCCCATTGTCCTTCAGCATCGCAGCTCTCCAGGTCAGCAAGCGCGCACCCTCCAACGCCACAGCCATATCTGCGAGCTTGAACTGCAACGACAAACACCACCTGTGCTCAGCTGCAGCCTTTTGCCAGCACAAAGACACACAGCAGAAGTCTCCCTGCTCCCCGCCGAGGCCAGCATTGCTCGAACAGGAGCAGCTCCATCCCAACCATCAGTTTTAATGGTGTTTGAAACAAAAAAATCACTGCCCTGTTTATCCCAAACAGTGCAAACTGTGCTGCAGGCCCAAAACCACAGCCAAGAGCCCACACGAACTTTACAGCACCACCAGCAATGTCTGTCACTGCCCCGTCTGCCTGCCTCATACCTGCACTGCCTGCAGCTTTGTGATGGGTGACCCAAAAGCCATTCTCTTTTCAGCATAATCCACAGCACAGTCCAGAGCTGCCTGTGCTATGCCAAGAGCCTGTGAGGCGATCCCAATCCTTCCTGCATCCAGAGTTTGCTGGGAAAGACAAAAAACATTAAGTGAGTCAGTCATACTTCTATGACTTGCATTACACTTGCATTTCTGATCTTGTCGGGAAGCTTTAGTATCCTCTGGTCAGAGACTGCCTTGACTCAGAATATTCCTGGTTGTGCAGGACTAGAGAGCTATAAAACATGCTGGGCACTGCAGAGAAGCCAGGGGTGCAGGAAAGAAAGCATAAAGGAGAGGGTTTGCTTCTTATCAGCTGGGGGGAAGAACTGGGGAGTAGAAAAAGAAAGGAAAAGAGCACAACGAGGAACATGTGCTTTGTGGAGCCCTTCAGCCAGACCCCAGCTCACTGCACACCTGATGGCACTGCCACTAAAACTGAAAATCAAAACCACCTGCTCAGTTCTCATCTTTGGTCTTCTCATTAGGGCACGCCCTGAAGCACTGCTTAAAAAACATGGCCTGTCTCAAACAGCTTGCCCACCAGGCTTTAACTGCTTCCCTGCATGGGAAGAATTTACAGCACAGTGAGAAAGGATTTTATCTTTGTAGTCTGGACGAAAGGGAACGAATGGGCTGTGTTCCAGGGAGCTCAGCTCTTGCAAAAGCCAGAACAAACAACAGCGTTTTGCCCCCACAAAAGCAACAAACACCTCAGTGGGTAGTGCAGCACTGCAAGGAACGCTCCCTGACTCCTCCTCAGAGTTGCATACAAATTGTAACTCACATTTCATCCACTGTTACACGTTACCCAGAGGCTGTCCCGGCCCTCCAGGACAGCTTTTCCTCTGCCACAGTATTTAGGGAAAATGCCATGTTTTCCCTTTATCTACAAACTGGAGGAACAGAGGGGTTGGGAAAGGAGAAAAATTAAAACTCATCACAGCTGCTGACACACCACCTCAGCAGCATGAGCATTTCTTCATCAGAGAACTGCCGCGTTTATCTACAGTAAAAGTGATGTCAAGGATCTATGGCAAACTGACAGTTCATCAGCCCCGTGAATGATTTCCTATGGTGACAAGAGGGGGTCAACTTCTCAGTGTTACACAAGGCAGCTTATGCTAGTGGTGCCCACCAAAGCCACCTTAAGCCAAAAAACGGTTTTGGAAATGATAAGCTTTAGAACTATGGCTGTCCACAACCACAGCTCACCTCGATCCATCTCTTACCATGGCAATTTTGAAGCCCATTCCCAGCTGTCCTAGTAGGTTGGCCTTGGGTATCCGACAGTCTTCAAAGATCAGGTTCGCAGTGGAAGAGGCGCGGATTCCCAGCTTGTCTTCTTTCTTCCCCAGTGACAGCCCAGCAGTTGGCATGGGAACCAGGAACGCGCTAATGCCCTGCAATAAGACCCAAGCTCTTAGGAATGGTGCCAACTTCCCATTTACCTGGCTGTCAACAGGCTTCCTCCAAACATTTTGGACAAAAGCCACCTCTCTGGGTGACCAGAAGGGAGGGAGAGTTAAGACAGAACAAAGCCAGTGCACATCAGCCCCTCCTCTACTCAGTGCCTGCACCACTCTAAATAGTGCCCAGAACCTTTTCAAAGTGCTTCTCCTGCACCACTCCTTTACTCCCACCCCTTCTTACTGACTGACCCAAATGAACACACCTTGTGCTTCAGGGATTTGTCTGTAGTAGCAAACACCACAGTGGCCGAGGCGTCCCAGGCGTTGGTGATCCAGGCCTTGGTGCCATTCAGAACCCACTCGTCCCCATCCAGACGTGCCACCGTGGATGCCGCACCCGCGTCACTGCCATTCCCTGAGCAAGGCACCAGCAAATGAGGCCATCAGTGGCAGCCTGAGGCGCAAACTCACCCCCTGCCTGCACTCTGCCAGCTCACAGCAAGTCTTGTAACTGGTGGTGTCACCACTGTCCCTCCTCAGGACCCAAATCAGAAAGGGAAAGGCCCCCATGTCTAAGATGTGTCCATCTCCACAGCTCTGCTCACACAGAGGGGATGAAAACTTTCAGCATGGACCACGGGGATGGCAGTTAACAGCGTGGGCAGCGAGACTTCCTCTAAAGAGAATTGTTACAAACCACCCTTGTGCAAACTGTTACAATTTCACACACCTAAAGTCCATCCCAAACCTGAGGAAAGCAGCTACCCTATATGTACCTTTTCTTGCAAAAGGAACAGTAACAGCTGTATCACCTGGTTCACTAAGGGCAAAACATCCAATTTTCTCTCCTCCAGTGAAGGGAGCGATCCACTTGTGCTTCTGTTCTTCAGTGCCAAACTTGAGTATCGGCCCTAAATATAGGGACTTCAAACATTGAGAGTTAACGCCTCTAGAAGGTACAGAAACAATCCAGTAACTCCCTAATGTCCAAGGGCTCTCCAACCAGGGGAACTAACCCCATTTCTCACATATACTCCTTCCCAGAAACCACTGCCACCAGCCCTCAGTTCCACGCCTGTCCCTCACACACAGCCTGAGGCACTTACATTATTGACGCTGACAATGACACCAGTGGAGGCACAGCCCCTACTGATCTCCTCCACAGCAATGGAATAGGCCAGGTAGTCAAGGCCAGCTCCTTTGTACTCCTCTGGCACGTCCATAGCCAGCAGCCCTAAGCCACCCATCTTCTTCACCTGCATGTAAGGAACGCAGAAGTAAGATCCTGTGCACCACCAGTGTCCTAGCAAATACACAGAGACACATGGAAGTAAAGACAGGTCACAGCAGGGCTACACACAGAGAAGATGCAGAGAACTCCTGGTGAAATGGGAATCTGACTGTACAAACTCGTAAGTGTCCCCAGGCCGTGACGTACAAGCTGTACACAGTCACTGCAGCTTAAGATGAGGCTCCTGCTTATTTAAGACACTAGAAAGGGGGACCCTTCTAAAGGTGAAGTAAGGATATACAACCCCACCAGTATTCCTCAGCATCCCACCAAAGCTTTTCCCTTTGCATGTGTCCTGTCAGTGGGAAGCTCTCAATAATCTCTAGCTGATAAAAATCATTAGAGCTTTACCTGTGCATTTGCTGAGCTTCAGCCTAGGGCTGCACAAGGAAAGAATTTTACAGAATGAGTGACCCACAGGACACTTTGCAAGAAGGTGACTTTCTCATTCCCATTAAAGTCAGGTCTGGCTTCCCAGAGAATAGTTGGTTCCATTCCAAGGTACTCCACTCCAAGTTCCTCAGCTGGACCCTAACTTCTTAAGTGTAAGCTCTTCAGAGCACTGACTGTCTCACTCTAGGTTCTCTTGTTAATACTTGGCAGCAGACAAGAGTAACAAAAAAACCCAAGCTTTCCTCTGTTTTTATGCTTGATAAGATGTCCTCTTATAATTCTTCTGGTTTTATACTTGATGTCAAGCTTTCAATGCTGCAGCAATGTGTATGTTACCAGCCTTGCTTGCCTGCTTGAAAAGGAACCAAGGGGAACTTTTAAACAAGTATTTCCCTCCTGTACAGGCACCCAAAACACTAGTCCCTCACATCAAATCCAGAGACTGAACAAAAGACTACAACAAGTATGATAATGCTGCTTTAATAAACACTGTTTACATTTAGAATTCTCCCCTACACATTCAAGTAAGATGACTTAAAATCTAATGTAAAATTCTCAGGTAACAGTGAAGAGGAAAGTATTTTCTCCTTTAGGGTGAGTTTGCCTTCACTGGCGATCATCTTCCTTACTCCTTAACAGCAAGACGGGACAAAACTCCACAAGCCTGACTGCGGTTGCCTCGAGCCTTCTGCTAATGTAATTATTTTCCCGGAGCTTAGCGTTTTGTTGCAACAAAGCAGGTGAGTTAATCTGCTCAACACGGCACGGTTATTATCTAGGTGTGCCTGCTCCGGCAGGGGGATTGGACTAGATGATCTTTTGAGGTCCCTTCCAATCTCTAGCATACTGTGTGTGGGTGTGTGGAACATGTTGCTCTGTCTGTACTGCTTTCCATAAGGGAAATTTCAGGTTTAATTGGAATCTCAGCTTCTCCACAGCCCCAGAGCATGACGAACATACATCTACTATGCCCTGTTCACCTCCTTTCACCATCTGAAATGGACTCAGGTCCTCTAGACTTCCTCACTATAAACTATTTTTATGGTTATGTGTAGTCTGTAAAGGTATTTCATTGATTTTACAAGTCGGTTGTGTAACAGCCCACAGGTAAGTCAGTAACAGAACTGAAAATTCAGTGGTACTAAAGCTGGATACAGAGAAACACAAATGCAGGTAAAGAGCTCAGGATGCTCAGCAGTGGGCATTACAACCTCCACACTCAAAAAGATTCTCCCACAAGCTGCTCTAAACTTCAGTCTTCTACTCTGGCAGATGTACATTATGCTTGGGGCCCGGACGGCCCCAGCAGCCGAAGGAAGCCCGGCTCTGACCGCGACCGCCTGTTCCCCCATGCCCTCATCGCAGCACACACCTGCTCGGCCGGGAAGCGGTGCTCCTTGTCCAGCTGTGCTGCAAACGGCATCAGCTCCTTCTCTGCGAAGTCCCGGCATGTCTGACGCATCATCTCGTGGGTCTCCGGCAGCTCCACTGTCTGGTACACCGTGTGCAGCCGGCGGAGGCACCCGAAGGCCAGCGCTGGAAGGCACGAGAGGCATTAGAGGCCGTTGTTCCCCTGGGCAGGGGGATGAACACGACCCAGGAGGGCCAGACCCCAGGCGGGACCCGCGCAACGTGGCCGAGAGCCTCCCCGGGGAGAGGCTTTCCCCCGCTCAGCAGCGGGGCCTCACCACCCGGGCCTGAAGCAGGGGCACAGCGGGCCGGAGCCCTAAGCAGAAGGGCGGCTGAGGGAACCCGCCTCAGGCCCTGAAGGGCACCGGGCCGTCTCCTCCCGCGCAGGCCGCCGCCCCCTCCCCACCCCGCTGCCGTGTCCCGCCGCTCCCCGAGCAGCCGCGGCGGAGCGGGGCCGGGGCCGGGGCCGACCCCGGTCCTAGCGGCCTCACCCCGGGGCGCGCCGCAGCCGCGGGCCAGCACCGCCGCCGCCATGCCCGCCTCCCCTCGCCTGAGGCAGCGCGAGCAGCGCGCATGCGCCCACTGCCGGGGCAGCACCTCCAGGTCCGCGCCCCCCTCCCATCCGCTCCAGCCCCGCCCCGCTTCCTTCCCCCCCCCCCCCCCCCCCCCCAAATGCGGCCACTTCGGTGCGAAACCGGAGGTTTCTTTATTACCGTGACAAAATAACCTCTGTACAAATACATCGTCACCCTGAGGGGCACCGCCAGCACGGCCCCGCACCGCGGCCTCCGCCCGGGAAGGCCCATAGCACGGAGGAGGTCGACGCGCCAGCAGCCCAAAGGCCACACTGTGAGATACAAAGAGGTGTCCTGTAACAGCACTGAGATCCAGGCAGGCAGAGACGGGGTTTGCTGGTGGTCGTTTCGTCCTTTGCTGCAGAGGAAGAGGTGATGGCTCCAGCAGGCAGCGCGGCCCTTGGCTTTGTCCTTGTTGTCGAGCCAAGAGGGAGATGGCAGTGTCTGAGCCCGAGGAGTAGCACAAGGCTGGGTAGCACAACGTGAGAGGACAGCAGGGCTGAAGACAAACGCTAGGAAACAGCTGAAGAGGATGGAATGAAACAGAGCTGAGAAGCAGAAGAATGGTCCACACATGGTAACTCACCACCACCACCTTCCTCATTCATCGCCGACTTCTAAACACTTGCTTTATTATTCCCGAGCCCTCAGAGAAGTGGAATAAACATCCTCAAGCACCACAGAGGAGGCTGCTGCTTCTCTGCAGCAGGAAACATTGAAAATCCCAAGGAATGCACAAAGGAAGGCTTTTCCTACCAAAAACAGAGGACAGGGGTACCCAGTCCATACAAGAGATGACCTTCCTTCACAAGGTGCAAGATGTACTCCTCAGTCAATCGTGAAAATAGCTGTCCAGGAAGTCTGCTTGCATGGATCCAAAGCACTTGCCTCAAAAATGGAAAAAAAGAGGTCCAATACTAAAAGGACAAATACTGAAAAGATTTAGCATGAGTTTGTGGGTTTGGTCCCTTTTTTGTTAGGACAGAACACAGTATGGTCTCAAAACTCTTCTCTTTCCAACTCAGCACACAACCCAAGAGAACCTGTCTGCACAGGTACCTTTTGCTCAAACTTCAGCTGACACTGAAAACACCTCCTCTGCCTACAGACCCTGGCTTAGGACAGACCATCCCCCTGACAAGGATGAAATCCCTTTGGAATTTCTTCCTAGCTCACTGACATAAGTAGCTTTGACCACCACTAAGGTATCAGAGCACACAAGCCAGAAGGAAGATGCTCTGTTAAATGTGCTTTCCAAAGACATCAATCCCTGCCACAAAAAGAAGACATTTTATAGAAAGCATCCAAGAGGAAAATTACCTTAGAGGAGCAGGCGAGGTGGGGACCAGAGTTTAAAAGACCTTTTGGATTACAATCAACTTTTTCAGTGCTGGGTTACCCTCCTTTACTTCTCTTGTAGGAGTAAAGACCTTCTAATTTGGCAAACAAATTCAGCTGTAAACTAAGGGGTGCTGCTGCTGCCTGCACATCTTCTCATTTTCCTCCCTCCAGTTTTCCTTATCTTATTGCTGAATAGCTGATACATTCACCAATGGAAAAGCAACTGCTTCAAGGCTTTTTCCTCCTCACTGCTGGGAGGTACTGACTAAAGGCAGGAACCCACGTTCCTAAGAACACCAAACACTTGGCAGAGCGCTCTCCCGCTGTCAGTGGCGTTCTGTTAGCAGCAGCTAGATGGCACCCACAGCCCGACCGACACCCGGCCCCTCCGGCGCTGCGCCCAGACCACTGAAGGCAGCTCACACGTGTTGGGATTCGCCCGCACTTCTGCTCACTCTGGCAACCATCATCTTCCTTTTAAGAACCGTCACGCAGTGACACAGAAAACAGATGGGAATCTTCACACAAGAAAAGCAAGGGGTTGCTTCATACATAAAAGTAACATTTAAAGGCACCTGGATTTATACTACATCCAAATTCAGCTCAATATGCTACAATTTCCCAGGGACTAACTAGCACAGGCTTGTCAGAAACTATCCTGAGCATCTCAGAACACTTCAGGATGAGAAAAGCACTTCCAGGCAGTTCTGCCTTATCACAAACAGCTTCCAGCAAACATTCCCTACCTCACTAGTACAAGGCCTTTTGAAGACAATCACTGCAAGAGACATCTCCAGCTCCACCTTGCAAGAGGCTTTAACCAATTCCGGAATAACTAAAAGATTGCCTAAGTGGCTTTGGAAATACTGAAGGGCACTGATGGTAGCAGAACTGTTCATCTTTCCACCACACAGAGCTTGTCCCTCTGCATTCCCAAGACATTTGTTGTGGTTGCTCAGGATTAGTGCTCCACCCAGCACATCATTTGTTGTGGTTAATCATAATTAAGTATCTTTCCAAGAGCTGGAGATTCTTTCCTGACTGCCACCCCACACACTCTTACTGCTTACCCTGATGCCAGCTGATCTTCTCCACCAAAGTTAGCATCATTAATGTGTGAGGTAAAGGCAGTAGTTTCCTACTGCTTTCTATGCATTAACAGGCTCCAGGCTGTGATGTCCACCCCACTTGATCCTGCTAAAACATAAAGTACACTGAATCTTACTTAACACAACAGGTAACCAATGGTAATCACCCACCAGTTAGGTTTCAACTCTCTCAAGGAACAAATGGAACTGGTACTAGTAAATGCCTCTACTCTAGACACAACCCTCGTACAAGAGACACAACTGACCAGCCCAGTGAGGGGACAGGGAAAATGCCAGTCTAGAGAGCACCAAAATAGGCAGAAAAGGGTCTTGTTAGCTGAGATTTTGCATGGTCAGGAGGTGGGTCCCAGCATGGCTGCTGGGAAGACACAGGTCTCCCCTTCCCACTGCTATTCCCTATGGACAGATCCCAAACATAGCTGTGAAATACACCCTCTGCACTGGCAGCAATTACCTTGGCAGAAGAGCTTCCTAAACCACAACTCAGCAGCTAAGTAGGCAAAGCAAGGATGGGAACTCAAACAATTAAAAAGAGAACCATGTCAATTCTCACTTGGTGAGAATCCCACTCCACAACACCGAGATCTGACCCAAGCAGCTTTTAGCTGCTAATACATCAATCAAAACAAAGCAAACGAGCTGGTAATGCCACCATCTCTCCTACCAGCACCTCTGACAGATCATTCAGGTTTAAAAGTACAGAGATTGAAGCTCAGGAAACGCTGCTTCCTACACATTTTTCAAGTGATTTTCCACATTCTCCCTTTTTCCTCTAAGCCCCCTAGACTGACACCTCCCCTCCACCTCAGCTAGACTGACAACGTGCTGTCAATCCAAAAAGCAATACGTTCTGTAGCAAGAGCCAAAATCCCTACACAAAGGGAAGCAGGAGAAATGGTAAATATAGGCGAGATTAACTTCAGCTCTAAGGTTGACCCCTGAGCTCCAAAACACAATTTGCACAGAAGGGTTCAGACAGAAATGCTATTAGACTGACCTGATGACCAACCTGGATAAAGTTCCCCTTTCCCTTCCTATCTCATCTCTCTAGTGAAGTATCTGGCAAGACACAGATTAATCTATTCTCATGAGCAGCTCAGGCTCCTGGAGGCAGAATGAAGATTCCTGCACTGTTTAGAGGCTGAGTTAGTCTCTTGTTTTACCTTTCCCACTGGAAATTAGGATGCAACCTAAAAGCAATGTCAGCCATGCTACAAAGTAAACCATTGTGCACTAATGAGATGATCTATCCAACTGAAGAGAAGATTTGCTCTTCAGGCATCACCGGCTACTTGAAGGGGTAAAATTTTCCTGTTAAGAAATAGCTTACCCAAACAATCTGACCTCTTGAAAGGGTAAATCACCCAGCATGTGAAACACCAGAACCACTAACAGTGCAGCCTAACCAGAAAGACTGTAACAAGAATCGCGTAACAGTGCCTCTGATCCATGACCTAACCGAAGTACCAGAAACAGAGATTGAGAGGCAGGATACACTGAGTGCCAGACATATAGAGGTTGCAGGGAGGTTTCCTTTCATGAGCTGTTGTCCTCGTTTGCCATTACAGGGAGTTTTCCTTTACTTTCATGAGCTGTTGTCTTCGTTTCATGTTTTCAGCCTCACACAAGGAGAAAAGGTTTGGCAAGAAGCCTTGTTGCACTAGACAGCAACTCCAGTCCACTCCTGGACATCTGGAATGGGTAACAGCATCACAGCATCCCGTGGACATGGAACAATTACTGTCCTCCATTGTAAGCATAGTCGGCCTTGTTGTGCATAATCAACTTGTTGTCCACAAAGTAAAAGCTGTCTGAGCGGGTCTCGTACGGGTTTTCAACCATCAGCCGGACTGCAAAAGAGAAAGCTCCGTTACATTCACATGCCTGCCACACTCCACCGGACAGCACAAAGCCAGAGTAAAAAGGACTCTGCCACTGCTGGATTTACCAGCCTGATGATGCTCTGCCCTACCCAAGTAAGAGAAGCAAACTGCTCCTCCGAGCACGCTTCAAAAGCTCTGGCCTGCCCTTTCTATTCTTCTATTCACAGGACAAGTGCTGTCAAAGCAAACAAAGTGGGATCAAGTAATCTCAAGCAAGACTACCTTATAGACGCTGTCAGAGCCACCAGTGGAGCAGAGCAGCAAAGCAGATGTAGCAATCTCAACAAAAGAGTGGTGGCACTCCCACATGTACACAGGCAGGTACAAACCCTGTGCCTCCTCCTGCTCTGAGGCAGCCACACAAAGCCCCACGTGCTCCTGCTCCATTCACCCCCCGAGGACAAATATACCCTGCACAGTGTGTATTTGCAGAGATCTTGGTAGGCTCAAAAACACACCCCTCTGAAAAGAGCCAGCTCTGTTCCAAAGAAGACTCAAGTCCTAACAAGCAAGTACTGAAAACAGATGCGTGGTTACTAAGACAACCCCTTTTTCATTGTTTTACCTTCTGGGTTACAGTTATGCATCAGGCACATCAACCCTCTGACTCTGATCAGCTCTTGTGGCCTGTGACTTGACGTTGTCTGAGGCTTACATTTT